CTTTACTTCACGCTCCGGGGCCAGCTTAGAAGGGATTTGGTTGCTGAGAATGGCTATTCTCTGGTTTTAGAAGCCAGTAATAGACAAGCCTTTGGTGGACGAAACAATAGGGAGGACAGAGCAAAAAAACAAGCAAAAACCGTTTGTTCAATGAAAAGCAGATTGCAAAAAAAAAAAAAAAAAAACCCTTTTTTTAAAAAAAACCTGGACTGATGAATTTTATAGATCATTTTAATTTACTAATATTACATTAGGCAAACTTATTTTAGATCAGCACAATGTAACAATACTACAAGATAACACATACAAACCAGTTGATTTATGTTTGAAATAATCTTTGATAACTGAAAAGATGTTTTCAAAGCAACCAGGCTCAGGCCAAAGAAACAACAAGATAACAGTGGTCTGACTTTTAATTCTCTCTTTTAAATGAAAAAACTACAAAACCCAGGGTTTTTTTTTTTTTTTTTTTTTGCAATCTGCTTTTCATTGAACAAACGGTTTTTGCTTGTTTTTTTGCTCTGTCCTCCCTATTGTTTCGTCCACCAAAGGCTTGTCTATTACTGGCTTCTAAAACCAGAGAATAGCCATTCTCAGCAACCAAATCCCTTCTAAGCTGGCCCCGGAGCGTGAAGTAAAGCATGGCCAACACATTCTACGGGCAGTTCTGGAACAAGAAACGCTGACATGGCCGAGAAATCCTTTAAAAGTCCAAGTTGCATTTGTCAGCAGAGCTGAAACCGAACGAAAGCGGGAGATATTGTTTCTAACCCGGGAGTTGCTGATTAGCATCTCCTGGGGCCCCAGTTTCATGGGGAAACTCCGTCTGGCGGGTAAGTAGGTAGGCTTAACCGAGGGCTTCTTTCACTCACCAGGATGCGCTTGAAGAGCGCGTTTTCCTTCGGCGGGAGGCTCACTGACGGCATTGTCTCTGCTATTGCTGTCGCCGCCACCTCCGCCCTTCTTGCTACGACCGAGCCGGTGAACCCGCTCCCTTGATCACCACCCCTATCGCCGCCTCTCAGAAGGGACTCCACGCCAGGGCGTCGCTACCACCAGCACTGCCGTCGTTTGCTACGGCAACTCCCCCTTCTAACTCTGTGCGGCTACCCTTGTAGCCGGGATGCCTGTGCCCGGTTACCCCTGCTCCGCAGCAAGCCTCAGGCGGAGGCCGGTTCACGTGGTAACTGAGCAGGCCACAGAGAGGAGGCGCCGCCAAAATGGCCGCCAGTGTGGGCTTCCCCAGCCGGGTCATGAGGACTTGCGCGCATGCGTCATGACCCTCTTTCCCTCCCCTCCTCGCTTCTTCCTGTCTCTTCTCCATAGACTTAAATAGCAGCAATAGGGGAAGTCGGGAAATGGGACCAATCTTAATCTCTCGCAGCGTCTTGGGGAAGTGTTGCGCCTGCGCGTTTTCTGAGGCTCCGAAACTGCGAAAACGTCTGGGTGCGCGAGTAAAGCTGTTGAATTCCCTCAAGATTTCAGAACTATGAGGCTTGACTCATTCTTACAAAAGGAAACTGAATCGAAGGACTAAAATCATAGGAGCTATGGAGATTGCTGGAATTGTTCTGGAGAAAGAGTATTACAGCTTAAAACTGTAATATTCAAACCGTCTTATAAATAAGTGCATGATCAGAGCCAACAGCCATTCGTCGCAATCGCCTGTATGAAGCCCCCTCCCCCAAGCATAAAGAAAATAGTCTGTCATGACTTTAATATCTGGCATTTAATGTCGTTCTACACTTAAATCTACAGATCTCCACTATCACAGTAACTATGAAACTAGATGTTAGTTGTTTAAAAAGACAGTAGTCATCACTTTGGAACCAGTAGCAAAAAGTTCCATTTTAAAATTGGGTAGGAAAACAAGTTTGACGTTCTAATATTTTGTTTCTTTTCATCTCCAGTATAAAGGTATACAATCAACTTCATACCGACAGAGTCTTTTTACCACTTCTTACAACAGTCTTGTATTAATCTCAAAAAACTGGAAAAACCAGCTATAATGCAGCATTCCTGAAACCTCAGGTTTGAAATTGGAGTCCAGCATTACTATAGTTATGAAATAGTATATGAGTTCCAAAATGATCAGCACTTTTCAAACTGAGGAACCACTTGATGCTGACAAGGATTGTAATCTTGTAACTGACCATTTCTATTTCATTAGAAAGCATGTAAGCCCAATTTTATATCCATTCTGTACTCAGTAATAATTTCAGAAATTTATGATTTGAAAACTTCATATTTATTCAGAAGTCAACTTTTTAAAAAGATTACCTGCAGGTAAATGCCTGTGCGTGCGCTTTTTTTAAAAAAATGTAGTGCAACCTTTCAATTATGGAAACAATGATATTAGATTAGAATAACATTTATTATGATATTATTTTCCGATTACAACAATCCACTTTAACAGGTGAATTTAGGAGAGTGCTATCACAGCAGTGATTTCAAGAAAAGCAAATTGTGCATATTTTAGTCTCCGAAATAAAAAACACAATATAACATAGCATCAAACAAACAAAACATCCAAACCCTAATTAAAAACGGATGTCAAGGTGGGGATGAGCTTCTATTACGGCTGAGTTGTTTGCCGAGTTGCCGATAGATGACGCCCCAAATCCTTTCCTTAGATCGTTTTAGCACCCGCCCCTCCTACTCTTGGATTGGTGCGTTTGTCTCACTGCTTCTCACGAGAGAGGAAAAGTAACATGGCGGCGACCTTGCGGGCTGCGAAGTGGTTTTTGCAGGTCCCAAGCAAGGTGACTCCACGTGAGTTGCATGGTCTCGGGTGGGACTTGGCTATTCAGAGGAAAGCATTCAATTTGCATGAGTGTTCTATTGCCCTACCCAGGTTGAGTGAATGTGTGAGTGTTGCGCCCTAGATTGAACGTATAATCTTCAGCTGCAGGTGCCTTTCTTATTTGAACATTTTTGCTGAGCCCTCTGTACATACAACGATTTGCCTTGCCCCGTGTGGTAAAATTAGGGCAGTGAGTTGGGTGTGTTTGTGCATCAGTGGCATCTCTATATCAGAGTGATGAACATATGAGCATATCCCTTTACTGCACGGTCGTTACATTCTTTTTTTTCTTCCATCGAAAGCTTGATGGGTTACTTTGTGTAAGATACCTGGTTTTAGTGCTCTGCAGTGATTGGTTTGGAAGGGAAAAAGGTCTTATCATTGGAACCTCCTTAAACATTTTTCTCCCTGTGATAATACATGAGCGTAGGAAAAAAAACATTTTCTTTAAAGGAGTAAAAAGATAGGGTATAGATTTGTTTAAAAACAAATTATTTTAAATTTAAAACACCATTACTTCTTCCTAATTGTTATATTCTGTTTAAATGTGTTTTTACAATAAACTGTATTATACTTTTCTTCTGATGTACAGTATATGAAAAGAATCTTTAAAAAATTCTAATTTCATCTAATAACTTCATACTTATTCACAACTAGGACACTTCAGCTAAAATTGTTCCCTATTTCTATCTTGTCTGTCTTATGAAAATATAACCTGGACACAAATAATGTAATTTGTGGCTCAAATAATAAATCGTCATAATGTGACTTAATTATTTTTGGTTTCATTGGGGAACGTGTGCCTAATCCATAACTGAAGAATTATTCTCCAAAAGTATTTTACATTCATTTCAGAACTAATGTATTTTGAAACTTTTTTATTTTAGCATTGTCTCGTTCAGTATTCCAAGTAGGAAAGGAAGATACAAAAAATCCTAACTGGATAAAAGTTGGCCTGACTCTTTCTTCAACTGTTCTATTATGGGTTATGGTAAGAATAATATGTGTGAAATTAATATTTGTAAAGTAATGTTTAATTAGTTATTTTTTACATATTTTCCTGAGTTTTAATCAATTGATAACTTATATGGATCATTTTCCATAGTTGCCCTTATATATGAACATGAATGTACCTCAAAAAGCTATATGACATGTATTTCCTAATTGGTGGAATGTCACCAACAGGAAACAGTATATCGGCTCTAGATTAGACATCCTAGTTTACATAGAATTGTGGAAGAAACTTACTTAAAACTGGACTTTAGTTGTGCTTGTGGCATACTAGCCGTTATGTACCAAACTGTCTGTGATGTCGGAATATTGCATATATCTTGAATAAGACTGAAGCTAATAACCTTCCCTAAGCTTTCTCTCTCTTAAAAGCATTATGCATACAGGTTGGAAACATGTTATCTAGTTCTCTTTTAAAATAGAGAAATGAATGAGTTGTCTTGCTGCAGCTTTCCAAACAGGAAGCTATTGTTAGAATTGTTTCCAAAGATTATTTTGGTCACAATTTTGGTGAATTAGCTAGGGACACTATTGGTTTATGCATAATATTTTTTGTTCTGGTTTAGTCCAAACTTGTTATGGTGAATAAATATAGCCAAAGACTGGAAATTGGCAAGATTAATTTGCAACGAACGTAGACTTTTAAAGGATATTGAAATTATCATTTGAATTCTATCATTTTCACAATAGTACATATAGAAACTCTAATATTCTAAGTAAAATAAATGTATTTTAAATGTATAAGTTGTAGTTATGCCACTATAATGAAATAATAGAAGTTCATAAGAACATGCTAACATTGTATGTTCCATGTATTTATCTATGATTATCTTATAGCTTATCAAGCACCATGATTATGAAATGGCAGAATATGAAAGGAGAAAAAAAGAACACGATTCTTAATGCAATCTGATTGTTATGGTAAGTAAGTAATTAAACCTCTATATCCTTACTCTCTTTATGGTTTTTTTTTCCCCATCTTGTAAATTTTAAAAATACTTCTGAACTCTTGTGTTGCTTTATGTAGCTTTTTCCATTGCCATAATATAGGTCCCTAAGAAATTCAGTATCTATACCCCATATTGTAGTGATAGACGTCATTCCATTCTTCTTTAGTCCACTTGGTTTTCAAATTCTGAGTCTTGCAAACTGAAAATGCAATTGCTTCATTCTGTCACTACTCAAGGAGAAACATAAGTGGGTGAAAATGGCAATGCATGCATGTTTATTAAACTGCTATGGAAGCTTAGTATATTATTGAAATATAGCCATGGTGTTTTCACTTCCGCTTTTGCATTACCACAATTAGCACTCTGTTCAAATTTAAACAATGGTTAATTCTAAATACTAATAATTGAAAAACTACAACTTCAAATCATGAAATTGGCTTGTTGCAACCAACAGTAATTGAGTCTCGGCATAATTTTAGATTTGATATGATAAAATTTTGATTAACTAAAGCGTGTGGCAGATGTTTTTGAAAAACTCCAAAATCTATAGTGAAGAGAAGCTGTCTCATTCATAAGGAGAAAGCACCATTATATCTGAACTCAGTCTTTAGGTATATTTTTGGTTAGTATTCAAAATTCCCATTTCCCATTATAAATGGCAGAAGAGAAAGGGGAGAAGGGAAAGTAGATTTCTCAATATTAGTAATTGTTAAGTATTCTTGGCTTTGGTTTAGATCATCACCTACTGATTTACTTGAGTAACATTTTCTAATATCATAAGAGAGAACAGCCATAACAGCAACTAGACTTAAATGTAGGACCTTACAAATGCCAACTTTCATAACAGTGTTTTCACAAGTTTTTGTACACATAGTTATTTGTACTAAAAATTGCTTCACGTTAATTTAGCATAGTTTCTCTAAAGAATGCTGATACCCAACATTATAAATAGTAGCAGACTTTGAAAGCACTGCCCCATTTACTATTAAACCTTGTTGCTATAACCAATGTACCAATTCTAGGAATAATTGGCCCATTATTTTCCTATTAACTTCCTGATTTTAGATTGGAGTAATTTCAGCCTACACTATAATCACTTTGGTTTGGTGGTTAAGACACCAGGTTTGAAACCAGGAAAATATTGGTTCTATAGTCCTGCATTGGGTACAAAGCCAGCTGGCTGACTTTGGACAGTTAATATCTCTCTCAGCCCTGGAAGTAGGCAATTTCAGTAAACAACTGAAATCTTGACAAGAAAACTGCAGGGGTTAATGCAGACAATTGCAAGGAATAAAAAAACTGAGATTGCATATGTGCACATAGACACACACATATAATACACTAATTTCTAATTCCACATTACTAAGTTAACATTATGGTTTATCAGATTAACAGTAGCAATTGTAATTTCAATATATATACTGTTTGTCACCATAACAGCATAGAAAATTTACAAAGATTTTTCAAGAGCTAGGTAATCATTCAATAATTTAATTCAAAATCTTTGAGACTATCATTTCTTTATAAATAGACTGTATAGATGAATATGACTGAGCTTAATGTAATGTGGGATATACCATTATTTATATTTTTAAAAATCTTTTTTCTAGATTGAAGATAACATAGCTGAGATATAGTCTGCAGTGAAATTGTCAAAGCTGGATTTATTCCTAATTAATATTAAGCTTCCTGAAATAAAACACTGACTAATATGGAAAGTAACAAATATTTTTTTCCATTTGACCTCTTGCAAGACTTATAAAACATTCTGATTATGCAAAAGCTTTATCATAGAAAATTGCTGTACGTCAGCTGGATGTCTTTGGCCAGTCGCTTGTTCCACCCCTTAACCCACTTCACTGGGTTGCTGTAATTGGGAAAATAAGCTATGAGTTATGTATAAAAGGGCAGGATAAGATATATTATCATTACAAAATTATTGACAAAATCACCACCAGTTAATTGCAAAAGGCAGCTTTACTTGGAATAACTTACTTCCTGAGATGATACTGTTAACACCATAAACAACATCTATCTATCTCAGATCCTTGGGACTTGATACATGAATAAATGTGAAATCTAGTTTAACCATCTGGCTGACTGTAACTCACCATAATAACATCTGCCTATCCCAGGTCCTTGGGAAGGACTCTATAGGTGAATAAAAATGCCAATCCAATCTGAACATGCGCTGACTGTGATGAACTATAACAATAATGTGTCAAAAATATATATTGGAATGTTTATAGAAAAAATAAGCAGTGGAAGACTGGAATGGCTGTTGGAAATAAACATGACGTCAACATTAGGAGAGGCATCTTCTAAGTGACATCACTCTTATTGTCATTGCTATGATTATAGTTCCAATGACTTTGAAGAAACTAAATCTTGGCTATCAAACAGCAAAAATGTAAATGAAATGTCACATTTGCTTTATATGAGTGATCTGATGCTTTACAGAAAATTAGAAATTGAAATACAACAATTGACAAATATGGTAAGAATTTCTAACAGATATGGCAATGAAATTTGAGCTAGAGTAATATGCTACATAAAAATAAATTTGAATAAAATTGGTATAATGGGATTGAAATTTTAAATGTATAAGTCATCAGAAGCTATTACAATGAAGCCTATAAGAATCATCGGATAACAAAGTATGGCAAATTAAAAATGTGATTGGTAAATCATATCCAAAAATTCAGAAAAGTGCTAAAGGCAAAAATGGTGGAAACAACGGTGAAATCCATCAATATTTGTGGCATACCTGTGATACGATATCCTGCTGGAATGATTAATTGAACATAAGCTGAAACCCAGAAAGCTAATGAATAGTCATTCCCATAATGATATATTATACCTGCCCTGGAGAAATAGAAGTAGACATTTACTTCAAACAAACTGTCAAAGAAAAGCATGCACTGGCTGATTACATAAAAGACAGCCAAGAACAAGCATTAATGCAAGTTAAAAATCGGAACTTACTGAATGGGTGGAAAGACCTAACACCTATCCTCCGCGAGCTGCGCTGGTTACCTGTCGATCTCCGAGTGCGCTTCAAGGTGCTACTTATCACTCATAAAG